TTTGAATATTACATGTTAATAACTTGATTGGAATTATAACCTTGAGTTGACAGTTTGATACTTTGAAAATTTTGAGCCAGCCCTACCCCCAAGGGCTGTAGGGTGGGGCTCAAGGGAGTCAGTGTGCTAAAATTTCTTCATTTTCCTTGTTTAGAATCAGAGGTGCTAGTTTCAAATCCTTTTTAGTCTGAAATCTGTATGCTTGATATTGAATAAGGTGGTTTTATTGTTTTTTGTCACTTTGAATAATATTTCTGTTCATGTTAAAAACGAAATCAACTCTCTGTATAAATATATCAGGTGACCGTTAAGGCCCATGGGCCTCTTGTTTCCTTTAGACTACAAAATAGTTGGTTTTCATTCACTGGAGATTTTAAAACTTTGCCATTACTTGATTTGATAGGGTTCTAAATTAGAAGAGCATCACATCCAAGGAATTGCCATGACGATGTGTCAGATGTGTGTCCATGGTGACCGCTTTGGTGAGGCTTGTATCCAAGTGTGTGGAGGGGTCAGTCTGACCGATACCCTGTCACGCCTTGTGTGGTCTCGGGGGTCAATACGGTCAGCACAGTGTATGCAGTTCATGCTTAGGTGAGTTTCGGCTGCTGATCTTGTGACTGATATAATGGAGGATCTTGTGACTGATATAATCGAGGATCTTGTTACTGATATAATGGAGGATCTTTTGACTGACATAATGGAGGATCTTGTGACTTATATAATGGAGGATCTTGTGAGTGATATAATGGAGGATCTTTTGACTGACATAATGGAGGATCTTGTGACTCATATAATGGATGATCTTTTGACTGATATAATGTAGGATCTTGTGACTGATATAACGGACGATCTTGTGACTGATATAATGTAGGATCTTGTGACTGATATAATCGAGGATCTTGTTACTGATATAATGGAGGATCTTGGGACTGATATAATGGAGGATCTTTTGGCTGATATAATGGAGTATCTTGTGACTGATATAATGGGGGATCTTGTGACTGATATAATCGAGGATCTTGTTACTGATATAATGGATGATCTTGTGACTGATACAATGGAGGATCTTGTGACTGATCTAATGGAGGATCTTGTGACTGGTATAATGGAGGATCTTGTGACTGAAATAATGGAGGATCTTGTGACTAATATAATGGAGGATCTTGTGAGTGATATAATGGAGGATCTTTTGACTGATATAATGGATTATCTTGTGACTGATATAATGGACGATCTTGTTACTGATATAATGGAGGATCTTCTGACTGATATAATGGAGGATCTTATGACTGATATAATGGAGGATCCTGTGACTGATATAATGGAGGATATTGTGACTGATATAATGGAGGGTCTTGTGCCTGATATAATGGAGGATCTTGCGACTGATAAAATGGAGGATCTTGTGACTGATCTAATGGAGGATCTTGTGACTGGTATAATGGAGGATCTTGTGACTCATATAATGGATGATCTTTTGACTGATATAATGGAGGATCTTGGGACTGATATAATGGAGGATCTTGTGTCTGATATAATGGAGGATCTTTTGACTGATATAATGGATGATCTTGTGACTGATATAATGGAGGATCTTTTGACTGATATAATGGAGGATCTTGTGACTGATATAATGGAGGATCTTGTGACTGATATAATGGAGGATCTTGTGACTGATATAATGGATGATCTTGTTTGGCTGTGAACTTTTGGACTAATGAACAGTTGTAAATGTAATTGTTTTAGCGCACTCAAAATTTAGTGCTTGATTGAATTTTAACAGATTAGCACATTGATGAATTGGTGCATCCACAAAATAGGTAATAACAAACAATATACAGGAACTTCATAGGCATTATCATGATTAAGCACCATATTGGCATTATCATGATTAAGCACCATATTGGCATTATCATGATTAAACACCATATTGGCATTATCATAATTAAACACCATATTGGCATTATCATAATTAAGCACCATATTGGCATTATCATGATTAAGCACCATATTGGCATTATCATGATTAAGCACCATATTTAAAGTGAAAAATGCACTAAGATAATTATATAAGACTACCGCTAAAATATATATGTTTACAGTATATCATGCACGACTTTGTGGCCATTGATCTCGTGAATGGCCTCAATTTCACATCCTTTCCTTAATTTAAGATATTACATAGGAAAGTGTTACAGGAGTAAAAAGAAGTTGTCAACTTAAGGAAATTTTCTTTACGTATTCATTAAAGCTTTTCTATAGAAAATCTTCATAATTTCTTTAAGTTAAGGAAGGTTCTCCAGACTGGTGCCTGATAAACCTTCCATTGATGAGCTGTTACAGCATGAACTATTACAGCTGACATTGTAGTTATTGACCTTGTGACCAATGAACTTAATTGTACTGATGACCTTGAACCCTGTAAAATCTATTATAGTGGACATTGATAGAGTGTTTGTATCCCCACAGGTTGACCACTGCCTACCTATGATAGAGTGTTTGTATCCCCACAGGTTGACCACTGCCTACCTACAATGTGTGTTTAGCTGCCTGGATGGTACTCAGCTAGCCAGTCTGAAGGACTCGGTCATTCCCAGACCACTGGTCACTCTGGTCAGTCAATACTGTTGTAACCATGTTTGTCCTAGGCTAAGTTATAGTTAACACATCTGAAGATCAAGTATTCTTGACATGAAAGTACATGTAGTATTAAAGATTATATTCGGATCATTTGAGGAGCAAGGTATTCATAATTTGACAGCTAATACTAGATATTTCTCTGGGAAGACAAATAGGCTTGTAGAAGATACAGGATAGTCCTGGATGGGACCCTGGGACCCTCAAAAGTGAAATAAGCAATTTTCTTTGAATTTTGCATATAATGGCACCTCTGATCATTGAGTTGACTTAAAAATTGTTGAAAATGTCTTATAGCTCTCAGCCTCGTAGCTCTCAGCCTCGAGGGTTGACCTATATTTTTGGTCATTGTCAAAAAAGGAAGACATAGTTCATAAGACAATAATAAATATCTGATTAAACCCGGGAAAGACAGCCAAAAGCCAGAGAGAGACAACTGTATGTAGTCATAATGTTATATTTTATAGTGCACTATCAAGGCTAATATTCATGGGGGTTTTAATTTCGCTAATTTCGCAAATGCATGAAAGTTTTAGATCATGGCCAGAACAGTCAGGTTTGACATGTCTGTGATGCCAGTTAAGGTTACTGCATTGTGTCGGAACCTGGTTCAATTTTACTGTTATTATTGTAACACCAAGTTTTCCAGTTCTCGGCCACGGACTCTACCCCAGATCACAACAAACTAATGAATATGTTAAAGCTCACAAGGCTCATATAGACACCAACTCAGCAGACGACATACTAGGGAAATTAATTAGTGCTTGGAACTTTCTGCAAAGTGTTCCGAAAAAGACATAAATTGTGATTAGCAAAAATAAAAACCTGCGAAAAGTTAGAAACGGAAACAAAATCGCAAAGATTTTACACACCCATGAAACTAAACAACTTTACAGTATGTCTTTCTGTTTATTTTTTGGTAGTTTGTGTTTTTATGCTGTCGCCTGCTGCCACAGATCAGGAATCATCAAAATCCCCGAGGATCAGGGGAGTTCAGGCTCACACATCTCATCTACCGCTCAAAAAAGTTCACCGAGTGTTGTCAGCATATACAGGTATGTAGTGAGATATCTACTTATCTGCTGTGAAAATAGGGTCATAGAATATCGCCACACACACAGTGGTGTTATTGTTCTGACAAAAAATGAAGAGGACACTTTCTAATTGACCTGTAGAAGTTATCCATGATCTCTGTCATTGTGCTGAGGAAATTGATATAGAATACTGTCCTGAATGCTCAGGAAATTATCAAATATTAAAATGTTATTTGACCTGTAGATGTATAGTTCATATTGTCTGTTTTGTATAAATACTATAATGTATTTTACTGAGCTATCACATCTGTTTGAACAGCTGACATTTAAGGAATGGGTTACCATGGAGATGACAGTTTGTCCTGACCTTGACCTTTTGAGTTTCCATGAAAGGTATATACTCGGTTTCAGAACCTGTAACAAAACAATTTCGTCGCAGTTTAACTTTCGCTTTTTTGGGCCCGGGAGGAATTTATCATGACAGCTAATATTAGTACACAACATACAATGAATAGTAGTTATAAGTCGAGGGAGAAATTAACACTGGGGGAACATGGGTTTTATTGACAAAGGGTGAATAATGGACTGGGTGAATGTACCCCTGGTGTACAGTATATATTTAGTTTACCCCAGTATTACTATCACAACCCATAACCTGTTTTACCCATTCATTATGTCTACAGGACTTGTATGGAATTTTTCCATCTAAACTTGTTTCTGGACAAAAAGTCTTAAAATTATGAAATATTTTTACAAAAATGGGTCAATATAATATGTGAGAAATACTCAGAACAAGTATGAATGTGTATTCTCTTCAGCTGTTGATGAGGTTAAATACAGGTCCATGATCCGGACTGGTTATGTTCGTAAAAGCATTCATACTGTAATAATTTAGGAGAGGAACATATTAATGTGATGAGTTATGAGAGGATTTTTTTTTTTTTAATATATTTTTTTCCTGCAGGAGGGAATATCACTGTTGGTGTATGTACCAGAAATTTTCCTGCTCGGTTCCTAGGACGGAAGGTCAGAAACTGAATACTGGATGTTTGGATGTGAGGGAGGCATGCTCAGTCCTGATGGAGGCCTTACTCACAGAAAGTTTTAGGTATTGACCATGGCTATAGAAGCTTTAACGTTTAATACTAGGACACTCGGAGTACAACGGTCCTCAAACTTCATCATTATGTGGATACATCCTGACGACTACTATGTTTACACTAATATATGAAACATAGGTCACTGTGACCTATATTTTTCACTTCAATGTTTTTAATAGAAGCTGGGTTTGGCTCCAATTCAATCAAAGTGGGGTGTATATGTTTACAAACTTTTCCAAGACCTTCACCAATCGTCATGAAGTTGTAGTTCAAAGATCACTAGTAGATTTGGTCACCTATAGATAGTCACTGAAACAGTTCCTCAATAGAATGAAATATTTGGACTTGACTAGTCATCCTTGGTTCTGAGTCATATTTACACAAAGTTGAGTTCTCTAGTAGCACTGTAGAGTCATTTGTACAAAAACACTGCATATTTAAACATGATCTCACCTTTCATGTTATATTGTATTGTACCATATGTATATGCAAATGACTTGTTAGCTTATTTTATAATTACTAATTAAATCTTCCAATTCAAAGGTTGGAATAGTTCATTATGAAATTTCAGGGGTGAGTGAGTTAAAAGCAAATCAATTTAATTATCCTGTTATCAGTTTATTTAAGTTTTTCTTTAATATGTGAATATGTATAAGAATATAACTTTGTAAAACATTGGACAGGCACACTTCTAAGTCTACAGTAAGCTGTGGTCAGTGTCACCATGACAACAGGACTGGTGCAGATCACGGGGGACGAGCAGATTTTGTACACCTACTGCAGGTCAGTTTTCCTTAGTTGTCGGGAACTGACATTCACAGTATCCTTGTTTCAGTGGTCATTACCAATAGAAAGTCCCTTTATATATTGTGAGGAGTCTATTGCAAAGAAAATGTTTAATTCAGAACACATCTATAAGATCAAAGGACATCAGCAATATTTACCCTGGAAAAAAATACTTAAATCTAAATGCACAAATTAACCTAAATGCCCAAAATATTAAGGCTAAGTCCACCAATTAGCCACGAAGTAGCGGAGGCGAGACTAAGGTGTTGCTGCAACAGCGGTGGCGTCAACATTAAGTTTTTGCATTTAAGTTAGTTTCACTGAAAGTTTAAGTGCTAGACAAATCAAACTTGGATCATAGATGCATCTTAGGTAGTACATCTCAACCAGATCAGATGCTGGATGCTGCCTTCCGTTCATGGTCCATTGACTTTGTCAGTATCTCCCTCAACAAAAAGTTTTTGCATTTAAGCTAGTTTCTCCGAAACTACAAGTGCTAGACCAACCAAACTTGACCTATGCTTTTCAACTTTCATTTGAGCAGTGCATGTCCTATGGGCCTCTTGTTTATTGTGTGTCCCCAAACAAAGCACGATTATAGTATTACTGCAATGTTAATTGTATGTGTACCTAAATTGTATCACATATTTTTAAAGGAAATTGTGACAAAGTTACCAAGCACAGGAAGTGAGGAGGATTGTGGGAGTCCATGGCTACTTCAGCAGCTACTCAAGGCTTTACAGCAGCATGGCAGTGACAGTCTGGGAACAGAAGCTATCCTACATCATTTTATAAGGTAACTATATTGCAGCAAATGTATATAAAGAAAAAGATTATATAGCACTCTGGTGGCAGATTTTAATTGTACATATAGGATTATGGTTTGCCTTCTAGCTTCATGCTAGAGGGAATTTGCCTTTAGCTCAGTGGTAGAGCGTCCGACTAGGAAGTCTAGGGTCGCAGGTCCAATCCCCAGTAGTTGAAGCACACCACTCTCTTTCCTGTTACAAATGGTGTCTGTGGCCCTTCCTGTAGTGACAGGGAGCTAGAACCTGGGTTGTTGAGGTGTTTGAGGGCGAACACGTTGAAAAAGGGGGAAGTAGTGTGGCAGATTTTAATTGTACATAACATTCGATCACCTTCTCGCTTTGGGCTAGAGGGAATTCTCCTATAGCAGTGGTAAAGTGCCTGACTAGGAAGTCTTTGGTAAAGCGTCTGACTAGGAAGTCTTTGATTGTGGCTTGTTCCCCAGTGGAAACACACTACTCACTTTCCTGTTAAGCTCTAATCACCTTAAATTGTTGGAGAAGATCAATGTAGAGTTTTCCTGTTTAATACACTTAATATCACTTTGCTTAATATCAACTTTCATTTAATATCATGTAAATGAAAGTTGACAGTAAGCAGTGTGATATTAAGTGTAATCTTGCTAGGCTGCCATCCTTTTTGTATTGATAATTCAGAGAGTTATTTCCCTTGATTTATGAGAGTTGTCTTTTTTTCCATGTTGGAGTTGAAGTACTATTCTGATGTTATGTTGTATTACAGACTGGCCATGTGTCTGCCTGCCCATCTGTTTTACTGTGATAACGTCCACAAATTGACCGACTCAGGACTAAGCATCACCAGCTGTGATGTCATCAACACAAATCTAGTATGTCATTACAGTCAACAAACACGTCTGGTTGATCATAACAAAACATTTGAAAGATTGACTTTGTAAACTTATGAAGTCCAGAAAATGTATCGGCTCACCTTTTTTCTTTGAGACTTTCCAGTTTGTAGTCACTTCATTGAATATCTGAGGACAAAACAATCAATACACATTAGGGCATATTGTTAATTACGTTTAAACTTTTTTTTGTCAAAAAATAAACTAATTATAAATGCTGCTTGTACTTTGTAGAAACATGGATTATGTCATGGCAGCCATTTTCCTCTCAGTGTGACCCAGTATCTTGTACAGGTAAATATAGGTACTGGTATACCATGCTGGTCAATTTGACCCAGTATCTTGTACAGGTAAATATAGGTACTGGTATACCATGCTGGTCAATGTGACCAAATTAAATGTGACCCAGTATCTTGTACAGGTAAATATAGGTACTGGTATACCATGCTGGTGAATGTGACCAAATTAAATGTGACCCAGTATCTTGTACAGGTAAATATAGGTACTGGTATACCATACTGGTGAATGTGACCAAATTAAATGTGACCCAGTATATTGTACAGGTAAATATAGGTACTGGTATACCATGCTGGTCAATGTGACCAAATTAAATGTGACCCAGTATCTTGTTCAGGTAAATAAAGGTACTGGTAGTATACCATGCTGGTGAATGTAACCAAATTAAATGTGACCCAGTATCTTGTTCAGGTAAATATAGGTACTGGTATACCATACTGGTGAATGTAACCAAATTAAATGTGACCCAGTATCTTGTACAGGTAAATATAGGTACTGGAATACCATACTGGTGAATGTGACCAAATTAAATGTGACCCAGTATCTTGTACAGGTAAATAAAGGTATTGGTTTACCATGCTGGTGAATGTGACCAAATTAAATGTCACCAAGTATCTTGTACAGGTAAATATAGGTACTGGTATACCATGCTGGTGAATGTAGCCAAATTAAATGTGACCCAGTATCTTGTACAGGTAAATATAGGTACTGGTATACCAAACTGGTGAATGTGACCAAATAAAATGTTTCATTCAAGTATATGTGACCAAGCATGCAAATTAGAAATCAAACTTGTTCATCCACATTTGTGTGTCGCCTGCACTGTCAAAGGTGTACTGTTTTGCCCAGAAATACAAAATTATTGCTGTGTATGCCTTCTGCTTGGTGATTATAGCAGATATATATACAAATGTAGTCAATCATTAAATAATCAAAGATACAGACTGATATACGTTGTGTTTGTCAGGGAATGGCTGACTGTGCCCGGTATACAGATGTTAGCAAAGTGTTGATGGAGGCTCCGATACTGTCAATATCAACGTTGGTAAGTACAAACTTTGGGTGCATGAAATGCCTCAAACATAAGGAGGTAGCAGGTCATTTTCATGGTAAATATTGTATTGGAACTTACTGGTCTAAGAGTGTGATTGGTGGGAAAAGGAAGGGATTCTGTATAAGTAATTGTTAAATATATTTTATTATTTTTTAATCAATCGGATGTATTTTAAAGTCATTGAGTCAAGTAGAAATCAAAGGTTGTCAAGGACTTTATAAACAGGAGGTAAATGTAGAATAATATAATGAGATATCATTTTTCGGGTTTCTATAATTTAGTCAAAATGGTTTGCAATGCCCATTCACTCCTGATTTGACCCCAGTTGAACGGATATCCTCCTAGCTGTTCTGTGGAGATGTAGAACATATGTTGACATTGAGATTTTAGATGATATTAACATACACTATTACGGGGCAGTATAAACACCCTGTGCACTTAACAAGTTTGGACAATTAGAATGTTAAGGAAACCTTTTAAAACTTGCAAAAACAAAACATACACTGGCCACTATAAAAGTCCATAAATTAGGGTTGAGATATGGGACCTTTGAACCAGAAAAAGGATAGGATGCTTAATCGGACAAATACTTTAAGTAACATCAATCCTTGTACGATAATTATTACCTATAGAAGATTCAGCAAAATGGAAGTAATTCTGTAATGCGTTATTACTGTATGTAAATGAATATGAGTTGATGAGTGGCCTGTTGTAGGTTCATGTTCAGCATGTTGCCAGTGTGATGGAGGGAATGCAGACTGATCACCAGCAGGATATTTCATTCCTGTTAACCGTCCAGTGGCTTGAAGAGTAGGTGTCAAGGGAGATAACCACCAATTCTACAGCAAAAAGGACATTAACCCTTTCACCACTGTAGACCATAATGGACTCATCCAGATCAATGTATGGAAGAGTCTACTAAAGTTACCTAGGGGTGAAAGGGTTAATTACATAGTTCTCAGGTCCCAGGCCCTCCACAAAAATATTATTATTTCCAGAAAGTCTGTTTCTGTGTCATTTTTAGAATCAAGTTTTTTTACTCTATTGGAATTACATGATTCTCGAAAATCGAAAGGAACTACTTTTTCAATATAAGGCTACTAAAAAGTTTAACTTTACCCACAAACATTGAAATGTTTGAAAACAAATTTAGTACAATAGATTACAACATCCTCTGTCAGGGATTTCTGTGAAAGTTATTCCTACTTCTTCAAGAATTTGGACAACTTTTGGCCAAGAGCCAACACAAAGAGCCAGGGCAATTTTGTATCATTTGAAGAGTAAATTTGTTTGTTTCATGACTTCTCAAAGGAAGGTTACATACCTAACGGTCAGTGGAAGGTTTTCTTTTTCAAAATAAGAAGACTTGTACTGGTATCTTTTAACAGGTATTTGAGTGGACAGAGAGAACCACCTCATAATGAAGCCACGCCGTGGATGGTTGCTGCAGCTGCTGTCTCTCTCGCTTTGACCAGGTATTCTCATTGCCTACATTTCTTCTTATAACCTCATTTCATACAACCTAACCTAACGGCTGTATACCCATATATTATTTGCATTGCGAGAGCATCCCTCCTCCCTCCATCTGATGCCAGTTTCCAGAACATAACTCGACTAATGTTTCATGTACAGATTTAAATCGTGGTGTGTAGAGATATCATGAGAAGGCACATGGATGTTTACCAACATTTGAACACTGCAAACTTTGTTTTACTTATAACCTTGAACTGATGTACAAAAAAGTTTCCAAAGCACATCTCAGTCACTGTTTCATATATGGCCTCAGGTGTGGTATATAAATACATCTCTAGAAGGTACAGTATCATGTACCAAATTTGGAACAGTGTGATCTCTATTTAGTCTATGAACTTGACTTTAAGTACCAAAATGCAGGTTTCTGTGCAATATATTGCTGGAAGATTCATGTAGGGAGATCATATTTGTATGTATGTATATCATGGGCAAGCTGTGTAGCATGTACCATTAAGTGGCCACTGAAACTTTATTACGTATTGTTTCATTAACTCATTCACCCCTGAAAACATATTTGAACTCCTCCAATTGAAAGGTTGGAATAGTTCATTACAAAATTTTAGGGGTGAATAAGTTAAAATGGGGGTTGCAGGTTCCATGAAGCGTCTGCAGCTTCGATTTAAATCCATTTGCCACAAAGCTCGTAGCAGAGGGCTCATTTAGACTAGATCACTCTTAATGAAGAGTTATTTAGATGAACGCTACCAAATTGCAATTAATTGCTGTGGAATTTCAAAATCATCTGTTTTGTAAAATATTTTTGTGGGGACCAGATATATCGTGGTTTCCTGACAAAACACCATTTCATGGGTACATGAATTTGTGAATTACTAGTACGAATTCTAATGTAGAACTGATTTATATCAAACTTTTAATTCTTTGTGGACCTATGAAAGAGCGGATGAAAAGTACCCAGGAAATCAACGAAATTAAAAACCACACGAAAATTAGTGATTTCACAGTATCCCGTTTATACAGGAGATTACTAATTCAGGACTCATAAATATATAGTGTTAATAAATATATAGTGTGTCAATAAATATATAGTGTTAATAAATATATAGTGTTAAGAAATACCAAATCTGCACATTATACTCTGTTGTTTATATTGTAATGGGGCTGCGGTGGCCAAGTGGTCAAGGCGTCTGACATTTTGCTACTACTAGCCCTCCATCATTAGGTCATTGGTTCGAGGCAGTGGCCAGATACTGGCCGTAGGTCGGTGGTTTTTCTCTGGAAACTTCGACTTTCCTCAACAACCAACACCAGCCACAACCTTAAATGACCATAGCTGATAATAGGACCTAAACACAAACAAACCAAACCAAGTGATTGTGATGTAGTTAAATGAGGTGTTGTGTTTCAGTCTGCCACTAAAGAGACTATAGGTCTGCACTCCGTCTGGATGTCTACACCACTTTGTGATGGGCATACTTCATATACTCTGTCACCTTTGATAGCAAACCTTTGTATATGAGGACACTCGGGATGGTAGAGTGTCCCATACTGAGATTATGTCTTGTGCCTGATTACAATATACAGGGCTATCACCATTTGTATGTTAGCATCATGAAATGTGTCTTCTACAATTGCCAAATGTTGTATTCGAGTACAATTTGGGATGTTAGGGTGTCACTGTAATCTAGTTTCATGCCCCACTGAATACAGTTATAGCCATTTGTTATTTTCGGAAACCAAATTTAAGTGAGTTGGTGACGGATGTTTAGTCATTTTACTCTGCTTGTTGTAACATTATTTTTAGGGGCCCGGTGTTTATAATCATCAACAGTTATTCTGGTGATGAGAATTATGGACCTTCTTTGAGTTGTTGAGAAATAATGTACTTTTGCTATGATGTTGCAGTGAGGAGGTCCCACAAGACTTGCTGACAGATATCAGTTGTGCAGGAGACAAGTCAAGCAATGATGTGAGTATCTAGGTTTCTTGTATTCACTATATATTTACAGTATTTACCAGGGAATCTGTACAAGTTTCTGTATGCCTTCTGTTAGTTCCTCACTCACACTACTGGAGGCATCCTCGATACTCCAGGGGTTACGTATACGCTCTAGGATGATCCTTTGATGTACATTAGAAGAATCTCTCTGTCCCGTTTACTGTAAAATTGACTGGCTTTCACGTCCAGTGTCCCTAGTCTCTAATATGTAAAGGACAGGTATCAACCTAGCAATTGCTCAGGATTTTAACCGGACACCAATCAAATAGCTAGCCGCATGCCTTCAACTTTGCTAAGGTATACATGTATTCCTGGAGTATCGAGGATGACTGGAGGAGACAACGGTGCATCACATTGTCCGGAGCCTTATACCCGTTTTCTCATCTTTTTCAGACACTGGCAGTGTATTGTCACCTGGTGTTAGCTGAACTGACAACAGCACATATGTGTAACAGTGACACAAAGGTAGGGATAACCCCATTCATTGTAAAACTTGACAGATATTCGGGGGATTAAACTAAAACATTGACCTAGACACAAGATTTATATGAAATGAAAATTCAGTATTAATAATTTCCCAGATAGCAACATTAAACCTGAAAAATAGCTGAAATTATCTTTTAATATATTGTCTAATGGTGTAATTTTTTCTTTTTTTCTTGCCAAAACATTTATAGTAGAATGACAACAAAAGTCTGCCTTTCAAATGCTCAAATGTACATTTGTGCGATGCAGTACCTGGAATTAAGGAAACTTGTCCCAAATACGATCTGACCCCAGTCTGTTAAATGAGCTTGACTATTTGGTAAACAATTTTGTTCTCCCGTTCGAAGTACTGGTGATTAATAACAGATTTTCCTAAATACAGTACAAGTGATATAACCACATTGTTGTTGGGAGTAATATCCGAGGTTACATGATTCCTGTGATGTTTACTTACAGAAACAGTGTCTGCAGGAGTCGTGTTGGCATGTCCTGCAGTTGTGTCCCTCCGTCCTAACCACAATAGTTCACCCTACAGAAGATCATCTAATTTACACCTCGGCAGTAGCTCAGAGGACAGAACACCTCACGTTACTGAGGTATGTATTGTTTACAGAGGTCACCAAAATGTTAACCTTCTAAAAATAATTGTTAACATGCATATGCTGTAAAATATCATTTTAATGTTCACAAAGAAAACTGTTGACGTTATGAACAACCTCCCATCAAATGTAGTGAACACAATGACAGGCACTCAATTTGAGCACAAGATAGATGAACAATCACAAAATCATTGTTTTAAAGAAAAGGTAGAGCTACAAATGTATGGAATACAAGTTACAATCACAATTAAATGTATTTATATTGTAAGCTGCCTTTCAAAGGATTGTAAATCCTGTACATATTTCATGTATTTTGTCAGAATAAATCTGTGTATCTGTATCTGTATAGGGATACTGTTGTAAAATAAGCAGATATCTTCTTGGTTTTAATGTTTTGAAGACTGTCTGCATCTGTAAATTAACAAATTTTTCAGATCAACAAATGATATATCTGAAAACATTTTCCCATGGTTTTATGAAAATTGGAGGGGGGGGGGGGGTTAAAACATCTGATAAATGATCTATTATGCACACAACACTGCTGTATTCTAAGTTTGATTTTTTTTCGTGTCTATAGGCTCTTGTGTGAACTTGAGACATTTCATGTTCTCAACATATCACATGGATTGGACTGTGTCGTTACCCTGTTTGGAAGTGTAGTCAGGATGTTTGATCAAGGTCAAACACTTGATGGACCTGGATGTGAAACATCAGAGGTATGTCATATAACATCTGGGTTATACAATAGATAATGTGATTACTGTATACCAGGAAATGGTCGCCCTCTCAGACAAGTTTGCCCAGTTTTGAAATCACTATGTATGTTATGTTGTTTACTAATATTTGCGGTTAAGATACATTTACCCTCATCACAGGGGTGAAAAGGGCAAAAATTATAATATTTGGTATACAGTATTTGTATTGAGGCCATAGAATATATATATGGAGATCATATATATTTAGTTGCCATGAGGAAGATTCAACAAGAATTTATAAAACAAGGTATAGTATATTACATTACTATGAAATGTATGACCATGTGAGCTTGCTCAAGTATAATAGTATTTAAAACATTGGTTTATCAATAGATTGCTTGATGTATTTATCATAGAAGTGTTAATTCTTTTCATTTACCATTTATTTTACAGATCTTCTCTATACAAGAAATTCTGGATCTAGCTGAATTTGTGAAACAGTGCATCAAGCTATCAACCATTGAGCAGTTAAATGATATTGAATGCAAGGTAGGTTGTAGTAGACACCACAAAAGGTAGGCTGAAGTAGACACCACAAAAGGTAGGCTGAAGTAGACACCACAAAAGGTAGGCTGAAGTAGACACTACAAAAGGTAGGCTGACGTAGACACCACAAAAGGTAGGCTGAAGTAGACACCACAAAAGGTAGGCTGAAGCAGACACCACAAAAGGTAGGCTGAAGCAGACACCACAAAAGGTAGGCTGAAGTAGACCCTACAAAAGGTAGGCTGACGTAGACACCACAAAAGGTAGGCTGAAATAGACACCACAAAAGGTAGGCTGAAATAGACACCACAAAAGGTAGGCTGAAGTAGATACCACAAAAGGGCTGTATTAGACACCACAAAAGGTAGGCTGAAATAGACACCACAAAAGGTAGGCTGAAGTAGACACCACAAAAGGTAGGCTGAAGTAGACACCACAAAAGGGCTGTATTAGACACCACAAAAGGTAGGCTGAAGTAGACACCACAAAAGGTAGGCTGAAGTAGACACCACAAAAGGTAGGCTGAAGTAACTACCACAAAAACCTTAAAGCCTTGATCTTTACTGAAGGGCAATGTCAAATCACACTACATTTTTATGCCTCACCATTTGATTGAGGGTTGGGGGCGTAAAGCTTTATAGATCAACATTCCTGCGCGAGTCATTGTCAAGACTACCAACTTCATTTCATAACAGATTTTCATCAAAGTTTATACAAAGGTCAAGTATTAGAATATATGTCATAGCAGAATTGTAGGCTCAGTGTGCACCACCTTGTGGATAAGACAAGGAGACTAGATTGATCCTTTGATGTACATCAACAGAATCGTGTGGTCGTGTAACGGTATTATTGACTGGCTTTGAAGTCGGGTATCATCCTCTGTAATGTTCAAAGGACATGTATCAGCCTAGTGATTGGTCAGGTTTTTTACCCGACACCAATCAAATGGCTAACCGCGTGCCTTCAATATTGCTATGACATATATATTACAGGGGTACAGAGAGCAAAAGTGAGGGCAACTCCTCAGATGGGTTTGTATTTCAGGTTCAAAGGTCAGTACCGAGGTTTACTATTGAATTTTGGATGTCAACTACAGGGCCAAAGGGACATTCATGTCTTGCAGACATTTTCTAGTTTTATACAGAACATAGTTAACATCCTTTACACATTAAAATTACTAAATATTAAGTTACAGTGACTGTGATGATACCATATACTGCATTGTTATACTGTTATCTCAAATTGTTGTCATGCTTGTATATATATTTTGATGCAGGGCCATATTGTAAACTAGACATTGGCTAAATATGTAACCCTAGTTAACTCTTTCAGCACTGTAGACCATAATGGACTCATCCAGATCAATGTATGGTAGGGTCTACTCAAGTTACCTAGGGGTGAAAGGGTTAAATAAAAGATATTACACATGTATTATTATTATTATCCTTCCAAACTGACTATAGCCAAGTCTGTTGTTTTATTATAAGGTCAAGTTGTCAGGTGTTAAGGGGTTAACCATGGTATACTGTGGTCTTTGTCTGTACCATCTTTTCCTTTTCCAGGACAACATTAAAATGTGTGGAGCAGATATCTATATGTCATTCAAACAACAGATGTCAATGATGAGATGACCAGAGACGTTGGTTGTGTCAGAAGAGAGGACATGTTTGGGTTAGATGGAAGAAATCCGAATTTGTTAATATAGTGTACACAATATTAAATAAACATTTGATATTGAATTTTGCTGTTTTCCTTGTCTTTGTTTTTTGTAACCTTCAGTTTTAATGTTGTTGATTATATAAAATCTTAAAAACTTGCCAAGAGCAATACTCAGTCTTTTGAAATTTATTTACCTTTTATCAAAGTAACTGAATTGTAGCTTTATGCACGAATAAAGCAAAGCACAATAGAAATATATCAACATGTCAATAAATGTGATTATTTTAGAAACACCAACATCATACTTGCCAAATTTTTGAAATGTTCAATGGGGAGATAATCAAATCACGGCGTGCTGAAATAAAATGTTTGTGTATAACCCTAGGGACAAAATAACACTTTAAAATGACATATTTGAACTATTCTTTCAGATTAAATCGTTAGATATTGGAAAATAGAAAAAGTTTTCCGGATTCATTGGTAGAAAATGTTCAATTTTAGTGTTCAAAATCGGGAATCTTCCTCAAAAATAGGGAGAGCTGGCAAGTATGAAACATTTTTATGCCAAGCTTGAACTAGGGAAAAACGTCTAATTATTATATCCTGAAGAAGGAAAATTTGCTATTGTTGAAGTTACTGTAAATATCCATGTTAGAATTACTCCTTCAAGAAATTCATGTATGTATTCCAAAAAAGCACCTAAAGAACAGACCCTTCAATGGAAAGTTAACACCCAGAAAACCTTCATAGATGGACAAGTTTTTGTGTGCTTTATCAAAACAGTTCATAACAATTTTGGGCATATTTGTTAAGTTTCAGCTGGAAATACATTGTAGTTTCAACTTGATTGGAATTATCGTTATCGGATGGCTGATTGTATGAAAATTAGGAAATGTCCTCTAAGGCTTTATCCAAATTGTATATCGCAACTGCATGGTACCAGCACTCTATAATGTTGGGGTCCAATGCTAGAGTTCACACAAGAACAATGCGCTGAGTATGTTAATTATGGAAAGCACTGGGAAACAGTTCAAGCGTGATTACTGGGGTCCATGGTTTTAAGCATAGTAATTGTAAATTTTATGACCATGGGTTTCACCACTTTGCCCAAATGTTTGGTTTGGTTTTATTTAGTTTAACGTCCTATTAACAGCTAAGGTCATATAAGGATGTGCCTCCATGTGTGTTGTGTATGTGTGCTGAAGGCAGGATAGGTGTTTTTGCATCCTTGTGATAGCCCAGGTCTAATGCCGACTGAAGAGTGCCATCTCACTGAAATACCCAGCGCAGTATTCCACCCGGTCACATTATACTGACAGGGTGAACCACCCTAAATGATGAACGTTAAGCTGGGAATAACAACTACAATTTTTAAGGACTTTGGTATGTCCAGGCCTTTGGGACAAAACCTATTGCCTATCCTACTTGGCCGAACCTACTTTACTGAATCTATATAGAAAATGAAAATAATAAGCTGATAATTCTCATTGCTTTAATTATTACTGTCTTTTTAAACATGAGTATTTCAACTTCGTTTTTAACAATGGCTAGCTGGGATGAACGGCTGCCGATTTTTTTTCTTCAAATTATGACCGTCACCTTTATTTGTGGTCACAGATCTAAATAAAATATTCCAACATTGTATTTAAAAAATCGTTATCATAAGGCTATAGAATATAAACCGACGTTAACTTAGTCAAAATCAAGGCATGGCTGTTAATGTCTTGGTGAAAATAGCACTTCGGATTTCTATAACATGGCCATCACTTTTTTGCTACCCTAATGAACCTTACAAAAAGACAAATATACCAACAAAAGCAATAGTAAAACTGCCCAGTAATGTATTAAAGCAGACTGTGAAAAAGAAAACGAAGGCTTAATTACCTGTATTGGTAAAAAAAACTGGATGATGTGTCATTTCATAACAGAGTACCATTTCAATATCTGAAGAATACGTTTAATGCATCCCAATCAAATATGTGAATTACGATGTTTAAGTGAGGTCTTTAAATTTGTCTTACAAGAGGGTTAACGTTTTGATGACTACATCGGTACCATCTTTAAGGGGACTAGCTTAGCCTTGATAAATGTATGATTGTCTCTCCACTATAATACACTGTTGAATTCCTCACGGTAGACACTGAAATCTAATACATTGTTTTAAGAATTTTTGTAAAATAAGATTTCAGTGATTGGTTGGTTAATAGGGTGTAACGTCCTATCAACAGATAAGGTCATTTAAGGACGTACAATTAATTCTTCACATATGTTTATTTACTTTTTTAGGTATTCGTTCAATGAATTTTTCTCCTTTGCATACCGTTTCTTTCTTGTATACAACGTCTGCAAAGAACATACATGAACATGACAAGGGCAACCTATACGGCGTACACACATACCTTTATGTTTACCATAACGTTATGCCTGGGTAGTTTCTGTCACAGGCACCCGAGGTTAGTCGAGTGTCAAGACGTGTATTTTAATAAAATATATATAGCACCATGAATCGATTATGACAGAACGAGGTTTAAAGGGTCGTGTTTAAATGTTCAGTCAGTCTTGAACAGCGCTTACACAAGACTTCAATGGTCTGTATTTAATTTCCATACCCGATATATACACTTGTCTATGACCAACCTCGAGTGTCCGTGTTTATGTGTGTGAATATATACATGTATAGACACATAAATGTTATTCATATTGCCAAATACATAGGTTTACGCATGTACCGGCAGTCCGTAGAATGGACGCCATATTGGAAAGCTAACCGTGTATGTGGCTCGGAATGAAGATAAAGAAAACCCGATGTGATGATGGCATCCAGCACACCCATGACCGTTCCATCTGGCCAGATAGCCATACGAGTAAAAGGGGGTTCGCAATGCTCCATCCACAGAAATAAGGAAGTCATTCTACACTGCACGGATTGTGACATTTTGATATGCATTTCATGTAGTATTTCTATACATAATGGCCATACGCTTGCAGAAATTTCGGACATAACACCGGTAAAGAAAGATGTGCTGCGAGATTTTATTAACGATACTGAAAATCACAAGCTTGATCAAATCCGAAAGGAAATACAGTCAATTGAAACGAAACTATCTGAAAATGACACAATATTTTTGAAGCTGGGACAACAAATACAGCAGCAGGCGGAAGTATGCAAAAACAAAATCGACGTTCTTACCGGAGAGTTTGTCTCCCTCTGTGAAAAGATGGAAAAAGATAATCAAAAATTACTGGTGAAGTACAAACATGAACTTAAACAGCGATACAAATCGCTTGTGAAGCAATTGAAAGAATGCAAAGAAGTGTTGCAATCGGGTTCCTCAATTGATGTGTTCGACAAAACATCAGAGCTTTCCAGCGTTGCTCTTCAACTCCCCGTTAAACCAGTTCTAAGTGAAGTGGAATTCCAGCCTTGCGCATCCCCGACTAAGCGGCTGAGGAAAGCATTGGGCGAACTGTACAAACTAAGTCCAGGGACCCCCAGCAATGCCACAATCGATGACCCAACAGTAGGGGATGAATTCCTTGACCAGCCCACTGTACTGACAGAGTTCAAGAGTCCAATGGAATGCACTGCACTTTGCCCGACACCATTCGGCACTTGGCTCAGTGAAGCTGAATCTAAAGTACTGTTGCTTGTAGATTTCCAGGGTCAAATCAGGCAGAAGGTGAAGCACTCCTGCGACATCACGAACATTAGCACTTCACGAAAAACAGATAACATGTGGTTTTGTTGTGCTGGAAATAAGACCATCTATGAAGTAGCGTCCTGTTCCAATACACCTGTTGCAGTGTTCGAAACCGAAAGCTGTCCAACATGCCTCTGTATCAACAAGGATGAACAAGTAGTCGTATGGACAAAGGATCCAGATTTTCTACACGAGCGAGTCTTTATCTTCACAACAGCGGGCAAAGTGATAGTCTCCACTTGTCCACTTGGTCAAGAGGCCTGGCCGGTACGGACACCCTTCACTATCGCACAATGTTCACTGACTGGAAACCTTGCTCTTCTGTGTAGAGGAAGTACAAGCGACGAAGAATCACGCGGAATTATCAGCGTGTATAACGAAGAACTGACATTGCTGTTTCCTTACACAGGAACCGATGACGTCAGTGGAGAACCTTGCTTTGTCCCGTGGACCGCTGTGTATGACAGCAAGGGACATCTTATTGTAGGAGACGAACAAGGAAATAAAATACACCTCATCAGTGGGACGGGACAGCATTTGAGAACAATTAGATTCGGGGTACAAACGGACAATTTAGCTCTTGGCGTTCAGTCGGATGATGTACTATGGCTGTGTTTTTATTCCGGCGGCAAATCTGGGAAACTCGGAATATTTGGAAAGGTCGTGCGGAAGCTTTCTGATTCTACGTCAGACTTACTAAAACCGGAAATAAAAACCATACAGTACTACAAAAGCTAGGGGAATGTACCGGAAGTGCTGCGTCACTGAACACAACAATTCTAATGTCAGTTCAAATACCTCTGCAATGAAATTTTAACATAGTCAAAGTGTCAGTCAATAATTTTAATCGATCTATTTTATTGATCATTCACTCCTGCAAACTATTAGCAATTTCTCATAGACTGATTCATGATGATGTGATTCGCAACAGAATGCAGTGTTTATTTTGACTGCAATTCAATATGTCTAATACTCAAGAAACAGTTGTATAGATGTTTTAATAATCACACATATGAATTTCATCTACGGGACTTTAAACTTCGGGGGAATCGCAGTTAGAGCGATAATGCCAAGTGTATGTCCAGTAGTACAAATGGTCCCATGTTTACAGTATTTTTAATGGTTGCCCGTTTCATGCAACTCACATGAGTAAAAATACTAAGTTAGATGACATATCAGTTAAATAAATGGAATCTAAAGCCATTCACTTTTATATTTGTATCATTTTGATGACTCCAAGACTTAGGCTTTATTGGACGAAACCTCGAAAAATTGTGTCAAGTCTGGCACTGTAATAACGGGAGATTTCCTAACGTTATGACGTCTGCTGAACGACGTTATTCGTTTGATTACTGCATGTTGCCGGATTATTTCTAAGCATTATAGTTTACTTAATACATATAGATTTGTACTGTACATGTATATAACGGAAAAGTTTGTTCATATATCATCAGCTATACGGAGCAGTGCCTGTTCTGATTGCTTGACAGTCCGAAACCTATATCTTGTGCAAGAAAGTGATGACCAAACCTACCTGAAACCACTCTATAAACAGACCACCTGTGTTAAGAGGCCAGTTTGATAAATACACCAACATACCCTGTCTCCTTCACACACACACAACACACACGGAGGCACGTCCTTAAATGACTTAAGCTGTTAATAGGACGTTAAACAAAATGAAACCAAAACCAAAACCAAACCAAACATCCCATTGTAGTTATTTTCATCTTAACCGAACCTGTATCCATGAGACCACCCGCAATGTAAGCCTATACTGTTTTGGTTTCCGAAAGATAGTCTATGAATACCGGATTGACTTTATGAAACTTATCATTCACAAGGTCACAAATATCACTTTTGTCAAGTAAATATATTTTTTATCTCACTGCCAAAACATGTTACAGATTATATTTGAATTCGACATAATAAAACTTTTATAACGTAATATGTCTTTGTCATATATATTTAGTACATTTATACATTTGTATCTTCAAAGGAGTCAATTCGAAAAGATGCTGATGAAAACGGTGTAAATGTAACAAGTAAAGGTCTAATAATAATAAGTATGGGATACAAACGCAAATTAATTCTTTTGAGCTAGATCGATAAAGGTTTTTCATCTAATTTTGGTTATTTTTAACTAGGCAGCAGTGACCTACTTTTACAATGTTAATTATACATAAATTAAAGAATACATATAGTTATAACTACCGTGTAAATATTGTGAAATCGGAGCTGATTCCCGATGCAGTAATAAAAATAAAACACTGTTATAACAAATCCCGAAGTACCTGCTTAATCAGTTCGTTATAAAGGTACACTGTAGTTCGTATTACGTGTACATGTATGGCGAATAACAATTGTTCCTTTTAAAAAAACTTCGCTATATGGAAATATGTATAAAACAACGTATACACAAATCAAGAGGAATGTTTTAATTTATCTTACCATATATGTATTTAAACACAATTAATGCTCACAGCTTGCATTGTAGCTCATTTGAAAAAGCCTACTTTTTTCTTTCTACTGTTACTTTCTCGAAGAAACAGTGGATATCGTTGATATAAGAACTCGTTCTAGCAACACTGACGACCGAAACTTATCCCCCTTCATGCTGTCAGAAACATTGAGTACACAACCTCAATGTCGGACATCTCCGTCGTGTTGTAAGCATCACAGTCAACGTTGACGATATTTCCCATGTTCGTTATCGCATCACTGGTCTCTGCAGTTAAAGTAGAGGGCACACGTCCTTTGTCGGTGCACCGAAAGGGGCCACTAAAGCCCTTAACAACACTACAAAATCACAAATTTCGGATACAATAGTTATTCATATTTAAACTAGAATTCCATGTTAACCATGCAAAATTAAATTAAATTTTTTGTCATGGCTACGGCCCACGTTGGGGATCATAAACCATTAGGAGAGTCTACCACCTTGTTAAGTAAAACAAACACTAGAAATACCCAGAAACTAATCACTCGTTTAAAACGTCTGTTCTTCGATACAGAAAGCAGAACGTTACACTGAACCATATGGCAAATTCGTCCATTTAGAACTATGAAATGAAAACTGATGGAAGTATACAAAATGACCTAGTACTACAGAGGCGAGAAAAGTATATCATGCAGTTCATTGTGTAATTGGTATATCTTCGGCCTGACAAAGGACAGCATTGGTTGTAGTGCAAGTAATCCGTTTTATGTATTATTAGACACCCAACGACAGATGATGGCCCGAGTTTCATCTGGCCCTGACACCAAACTAAGACATTTTGACAGATAGATGTCTGATGTTGGCCTACTATGGTCGACCTAAGTCTGGTGTCAGGACTAGAGAAAAGTCGGGCTATCTAATCTGTGTGATCTGGCTTCAAAATATGAGATTTTAGTGTCTTTCAGTAGTAAAAACGTAATTACCACATGTTTTGGAGCATACTGATAGCTGCCGACATGCTAACTTTCCCCGAGTCACATGAATTTGAATAAGTGATATCTATATCCATAACGAAAAAGATAGATTTTCATTGGAATGGATGTTATGTTTTCTTTTGAGTTTTGATGTCTCCACCTGTTCTCTTGTAGTGGTTTTGTTTCATCTTTTGTCCAAGTGTGTTGACGTTATTATGCTTTAGTTTGTCTGACATAAAAAGAAGGTTATGGTGTAGTGCTGCGTCCGTCAACGTCTGTTTTTAGTAGCTTCTTGAAAACTGAAGATCCGGGTCGTTTACAGTTTACCTGGGACGTAGTACTAGTGCAAATTGGGTATTCTCGTGTTATTGGCCTTAGCCAATTTTCAAAGTCAAATGGGTCAACTATTTAATCTTGAAACAACAGTGTCAGTAAAGAACTATACGCTCTAAGGTATTATCAGATATCAAATCAAGTTAAGGTCGATACGGGCGCCGCGCCTCTGTTAACGTAGACTTAAATTGTTTAAAAAAAAGATTTATTTCTTCTGAAATTCGATGATGCCCAATCTCAGTATTTGTGGCCAGTAGGTACATGGATGTGCTATAACGTTTCCTAATATATGTATTAATGACTTAGAACTACTTTCAAGGTCAAAGGGAACAAATATGATTAAAACTTCAAACATCATATGAACAATCTTAGAACTAGAGCCATGACTGAGAAAGATTTGAAGGAAGTAGTGCAGTCTTATATATTGAGTTGAGGTCAAAAGTCAACTTAATTGGCTGACTGAGGTACATTGACTACATTAGGAAAGAATCAGAATAATCATCTTGGTTCAACGAGGCCAAGGGTCATGCTATTTGACCAGCCGGTGCCTGGTATAGAGTGCTCTAAAATATCCTCATATAACTGATCATGACCTTGAACTTCTTTCAAAGTCGCAATGGTCTAAAACAAGTACTAGTGTAAAATATGTGCATTGATTAGGTTGCCTTACAAGCGTCAGCTGTAGGGAATGTCCCTTTAACTCAGCGGTAGAGCATCCGGCTGGAGAGACAAGGGTCGCGGGAGCCCCAGCGACGGCACTATCTTTATCACTATTCCTCGTCCTATTACACTAGCATCATCTGTCAATGATCCTATAATCTTAAAGTATGGGTGTGTTGGCAGACAATGAAGGCTTGTACCTTAGGTCCAATGTGTTAAAGCTTCATTCAACATTATCCGAGGAATCCCGAGGTCTCGAGTCGTCATATATCAGCAGTAGATATCCCTTTACTAACATATTGGGTTCAGGTCAAAAGTCAAATATGAGTGCTAGCCGGGTTCAAAGGTCAACATTGGTATAATGGTGCAACACTTTAAAACTCCTCTAAGACCCATATTTGGCCAATAGGAATTGAGCATCACAAACTTTCCTCAAGCTATAAGATATCTTGACCTACTTCAATGTCAGAGGCTTGGATTCCTGAACTCTTTTTTTGAAGCTGGTGATGGCAGATATTATGCCACACCATGACTTTGGCTCACTTGGCCCTTCAAGCCAGACAAGCTAACAATTGATTCCAAGATATCAAGAGCCAAAACTGCTTCACAGCAAATGTAGATGATATATATATATATGTGAGTATGATTGATTGGTCGTGATTAATATCTTAGGATTAAGTTTCAAGGGGTGGGGCCTGATGTCAGATGTGATCCTGGTAGCATGCTAAAAAATTGTATATAAGGTAATAAGGTTGGGAATCGATCTCAAATATTTCAATATCGTGGCCCACAGGCCGAGTCCCCAGGAGAGGGGCCACATCTGGAGGCTAATCCTGGTAGCATGGATGAATTCTTAACTTCATGTCAAATAAAAGTATATGTAATGTTATAATGTGGATCTAGGTCATTTCAAAAATATGACCAATGGACTAAGTCTCTGGGGCAGGGCATGACCCAAGAGCCAATCTTAGAAGCATGCCTGTTTTCATCTCTTGATGCCCTTTATCAATGTATGTGGTTAAATAACTGGTCAAGATGAAATTGTGTTGTTAATATATGAAGTTAAGAAGTAACACTTTTTCCATACAAGGATAATTATATGTACTATATTGATTGTACTGATTGATATATCTAGGCCTCATTGGCTAAACTAATAGGCAGAGATGATAGCCTTTGACCTCAGTGTGTTCCTACACAGTACTTACCAAATAGCAGGACTAATTAAAATGCCCCCAGCTGGTTCTCATAATAACTTTTTGAAACTTTCAACAAATTTGACTTCAGTAATCTGTGAACCCTGGTCAAATTATTTATTTTAACAAACTTGATATTCATTCAGCCTATAGCAAGCTACAATATATCATTAATCCAAACATGATGGTCTTTTAGAAGAAGTTGTTTAAATTTTTGTGACTTAATATATTTATCTTGTGAGCTTACATGTAGGTCAATGTTATTTATTTAATAGTCCTTCTTTTAAGCAAGCTTTACACCAAATATCATAACCCTAGACTTAATTTCTGAAGGAGATATTGTTTACAGTAAAACTAAAGGTGTATCTGTAGGACGAGGATGGCCCACTGTAGTCACACTTATGAATTAAAGGAAAGTCACAGAGCTCGAGGCCAAGGTCAAAAGTCAAGGTCACCAAAAGTTACACAACATGCTGTACTAATATACAGATGGAGGAACATTAGTATGTGAGGTTGCATGACCGTAGCTACAGTATTTGGTCAATAACTGACCAGTCACCTAAATGCAAAAAGTTATGAAAGGTCACAGAGGTCAAGGGGAAAGATCAAGGCCGCAAAATGTCTTGCAACATGTTCTTCTTATAGCGACACATAGCCATGTACCTTTGTGTGGCCCTAGATACAGTGCTTTGTCCATATATCTGACTAACATATTAACACAAATATTTAACCAGTTATATGTATACATATGGACAAAAGTAACATTATTTCTCCTACAACCATCATAGCTTTCCTCACTGTTGATTCATTGGGTAAACCTGCTAGGATAAATATTTTAGTTATCTAGTGGATAACGGTACACACCCTGGACGTGAATTCATTGGTCAACCTTTATACAAATTGAAATTTAATAATCTTGAGTTAGATAAACATGATAACCAGCCATCATTCATTGGGGAACCTCTATATCTCACCATTCCATGGCCGCCATGGTGGGGCATTGAAATCCAGACATCTGGACTATGATCATGGCACATTGCACCAAGTAAGTTAATACATGATAAACTAATATGAACTATTGTTATAGCATTTGCATCACTTCTGCTTTATTTTTATAAATATGTAGGTCTTTGTTTTAATCTTCCTTCTCTTTATCAAAGCCTTCTATATCACTGAAGTCCATTGGTTTATCAAAGCCCATGAGTTTAATGTAAGCAGTTCTACTTCTGAACAGAGACGGGTCCACAAACATTGGTTTTCCTTTCACTTTAATGACACAGAAAAGTGATGCCACGCTAGGAAGTGTGACATCCTCTGGTGTAAACACTGTCGCTTTCCGGCGACAAAAGACGGACAATGTTGTTGCTGTGAAGGTGTTTGAGTCCTCATTATAGTACAAGTCTGTCACGTAGCGTTTGGTTAACACATGTATCATCACAGGGGTTAAGAATGTAAAAGCACCCACGACTCCCCCTAACATGAACTGTAGCACTGCAGGTAACTTCGCGACATCGGGTAAAACAAAGGGGAACATCGATAGAAATATTCCACTTGTCGTAATGGAGAAATACTTTACAATTTTAATATTTTTGGTGATGGGCCCATAATACACAAGATTGCCTTTCACTGCATCTACTAGTGGTAATCCTTGAACAGGACTGTTGGGTTGTGAGCCAGGGATAGGAGTATTGTCCGTGCTCATACTCCGTGACTGGATGGTAAAGGCGCGGCTATTTGTAGGAATACGTTGTGTTGTTAGGGCTGAATATGGTACCATGTGCCTTGTATGTAGGAGACGTTGTGTCTGATGCTTTATTGTCAGTCGTGAACATGCTGCCTATAATGACAAAAATAAAATAACATAAATATACAGATAATAGCAAATAAATAAATGTATCTGCAAATTATTTTTTTGGAGAATTTTCATGGATATACTTTTTCCTTTAATCAGAAAAATTTGATGTGGAAACCCCATGTATACGTATATTTTGTTGGGGAATAAAACTGATTTTAATCATGATCAATAGTGTTTATCCCTCTTGCATGTCACTTTGAAAGGATACAAGATAATATATTTACTTAATATTTATTTCAATCTAAATACATTAGATAAGTATATATTGAATGATATGAATATATATAATTGCTTTGTGCAGATACCATTTATGATATTACATTCTAAATGGCCTATAGCTATCAACACAGAAAAGTCTGTTAGGGCCAAAGTGCAAGAAATCACTTGGTTATAATGAAGGCCTGGAATGAAGGTTGCTGTTTTTGTCAAATATATTTCACCTGCACACATACATGTCACGTTATACGATACTACCTTAACTAGCGATCCCCAGATTCCAAGTCTACCACTATAAACTACCAATTATGCCAAAGGGAAAGTCCTTCTAGTGCAAAACTAGAAGGCGACCATGATTCTATGTAAAGGAGAAAGGCCAAAATCTATCCATTCTGTGAGAGAATGGACTGATCCAGACCCATAGACTCACATAAACCATGGAGATGATATATACAATTTGTCATTTTCACAAAGATTTAGACAACTAAATTAACATATTTTTATGCACAATTGTACCTCATTGTATTTCTACTGGATTATGTTGAAAGAATGACACCTTTAAAATGATTAAAAGAACTTCATGATTTCACAATCTCATTAAAATCAGATGTTAATAAAAATACCTTCGGCTCATGCGGTACGTGATAATGAACAGCTGTATTTATTCAGATTGATGATTTCATTTCACTTTATTCCCCATTTCAGTAATAAAATTGTTATTCGAATGGGTACCTGTTACCCAAATGCAGCAATTATTACCAATATGCGCCGTTGTGCCCAACCTGGTCAATACAACTATTAAAGGTACATTGACAGACTAGCCTTGGCTGATGCGGTGAATGGCTGAGACGGAACCATAATGTACAGGGGTTCGGTACAAATGTCTGAAACACACATATGCTATACTAGTTCATATATAATTTATATATAGTTCTCATGAAAGCAAACCTTCGACTTTAAATGCTACCAGTGTTAACACAGAAATTAGTGGGCAAGTGTACAAAACCCGGCATACACTCAGACGTGTTAAAGAGATATTGAAGTATCTTTATATTCCTGGTACAGGGTTTTAGTCCAGGACCGGGCACGGCGTACAAGATTTTACCTACCACCCACCACTTTCACTTCCAATATTAAACACTGCTAAACATTCCTTATACTATTGCAACAGGTATAAACTCATCTTTCTTAGGCTGCTCTCCATGATGTATTAAGGGAGATATGACCTGTATACAAAATATATCAAATATATCTTAACGCCTGCGTGCATTCCGCGTTTTGTCCTCACCCGAAATTAGTGATACACAATTCAATTCAAGTTTATTTGGTAAAAAGGTACAACAACATAACAATTTCATACAGTACCCAATACGTTTTGGCACTAATAATTTATATAGGTGATTACATTACAAAATGATAGTAATTCAACAACACGTTTGTAAGAGGAGAAAGAGACATTTGTAACGAACCCATGTGAATAATATGAGTTTCCTCTGGCCCTGACATCAAACTTAGACATTTTGACAGATAGATGTCTTATGTCCACCAGACATTCTATCTCAGTAACTTATCTGTCAAAATCTGGTGTCAGGGCCAGAGGAAAACTCGGGCTAATGCGATCAAAAGATGCAACTAAATTGAACTTTGCTGCGCAACATGCAAATAAACTATCTAAGCATTTTTGAACGATCTCAACTGTGGCTTAAATGCACTTGAAACATTTTACCTGTCTAAAACGATGCCAAATTGGGCGAGAAATGCTACAAAACACTCCTGATGTCGCCATGATGTGATAAGAACTCTTCAATATTGAAGGTTATGGAGATTATAAAATGGACCCAAGCTCGTTTCAAAATATCCGGAATAGTAGTCCAAAGGGAAACAGAATTAAAAACAAAGCTTTGACTTTAAATTAAATGATACCAGCGTAAACACAGAAATTAAAGATACACAAAATGATAGTAATTCAACTACACATGTGTAAGAGGAGAAACAGAAATGCACGGCCAGACCGAACTCGAACCGTGGACTATCCGAACTCCAAATCTGGATTTTTTTTAGCGAAATGTTTAATATGGATTTAATAGGAAATGTAATGAACGCAGGCATTGGCTGTTTCTATATCTATATCTTACAACAATACCGTTATATTATTTCCGGTCAGCGACGACACTTATGTTTGTTCATTTCTTTTTTTATATATATATAAAATACTTTCGTCTGATATTTAGTACGTCACGTGTCTCTGAAAATAGAGCGAGAAATCTTGATCGGGTCAAATACGCACTGGACCAAGTGCAATCTACCCGGAACCGGGTCTAGGAGTAGTGTTTGTTTTGACAGCTAATTATAAAAGCACATGTCTAAGCAAAATGATATCGATCCTAGCTGGTGACGATCGCGATAGTCTGGTCAATGACTTACCTGTGAGAATTCGATCGTGTATTTGTTAGTTCGTGTCAACACGTCACATATCCCAGACATATATGGCTCATATTAAGAAGCTGGTTCGAAATATTATGTAATATCTGAATACGTTTTTGAAATTGAATTATGAACGAGAAAGGAGTGCCGATGTCATGAAAAATAACCCTCACACATCAAAGCCGCCATTTTAACCTGTTTATTCTTATTAAAAAACCTGTATTTTCATAGCTGAATGTTTGAACTTTGCAAGTATTGTAGCAACCTCATTATAAAAACCTGCTTAGAAATATTAAAAAATAATTAATATCTGAAGAGATTTTTGAAATTGAATAATGAATCAAAAAGGAGTTCGTGTTCTAATGTGTCATGAAAAATAAAGCCCTCACACATCAAAGTCGCCATTTTAATTTGTTTAATCTTAAAAAAACTGTATTTTCAGAGCTAAATTATCAAACTTTGCAAGTATTGTAGCAACCTCATTTTAAAAACTTGGTTAAAGACTTTTTTTGGAAATTGTCTAAAGAACAAAAACGGAGTTCGTGTTCTCCTGAAGCCAGAATCATGTAAACACAGCCACGATGTGCAATCTTTCGATGTTTGGTGTTTTCTTAATTTAATCATTCAAGTTTACATTCAATGGAGCACTCTCAAACCGCATGGAAATCTCGCTAGCTACGTGTTTAATATTACGTTGATTTTTGATGGGGTTTTTTTCACGGCAGAGTTATGTTTTGAACAGGACAGGATTGAATGCATCGAACGAATATCCAATATGGCGCAGGTGAAGCGTAACTCGTGATATGACATACAATACAATAAAATAAACTTTATTTAACGTCGGATATTTAAAAACATTTAACATTAGCTATTAAAAGCTATTATTCCGACAAACATAAGTAAAAAGCATCAATTCAAGAAATTACATAAATATAAAACATTATGAAATAGAAAGTGTTAAAACAGAAGTCTCCATGCTCCGGTTACCGTGACCAATGGTATACGGTAAAGACCAAGTTGCCAATCTCTGTAATATATACGTCTCTGGTTTCAGCGTATATTTGAGGAATTAAACAAGAAACCATCAAAATGTAAGTATTTAAAATTTATTGAAATCACACGAAAGCTTTACATTTCAGTATATATAGTTTTTATTTTAGTATTTGAGCAGAAATTCGGCGATATAAATCGCAAATGATTGCCCAGTTTGGAACATGGATCAATTAGTGGTACCTTTAATGGCGATTTCCCCGTGTTGACACCAACATGTCACGTGAACACCTCTCGTATTCAATTTTATTTTCGTGCATTCACAAAAAAAGTTAAACGGCAAATCCTGCACCAGATCTTGATACACATTCCACACCTATCATACAAACCACTAGCGAATTTCAAGACGCGCCCCACATAAAATACTCAATATAGTCAATAAGAATGTTAATATGATGGACACATATACGGTGTGTACATACCACGGACTTAGATAACAATAATCTAATTCCGTGGTTCATACCTACTAATATCTTGTTTTTATCAACATGTAATAAAATGCACACCATAGTCTTTAAACCTTTGGATGTATTTTGGTGAATGTATTTAAAACAATGCTAGACTTACCATGGATTTTCAATGTTGTTTGCATCAAATCAAAATGTTGCTTTTATCTATGTGTTGTAGTGTACCTGTATCGTTCACTTGTAGTCGGATCAATAGCTCTCTAGAACTATTGTTGTACACTTATCCGACTTTAAACAAAGAATATTGTATTGTATTTTATTTTATTGTATATTATTGTATTGATTATTGTATTGTATATTATTGTATTGCTTCATCACCGTTATATTTCCCATTCGTATTCGACCGCCAACAATTATTTGTGGCTTTTTCATCTTGAGCTCAGAATAACTTTTAAGAAGCCCCCAAACCACTTGACACTTTGACCGTTTTCTCCTATCGTGCAATTTCTGCCACTGTTCTTCCATGAAAAGCACACGTGAAAACTTGTTTTTTAATTTGTGATATTTTCAAGTAGAATTTTAAGCTACAATTAAACTTACACACGTAATAACCTATTTTTTTATGACAGAAGAAACATAACTTATTTTAGGAATAAAATATGTAGATGAGTTAGATTTTATCTTATTTTATATAAATATATGATTCTGTGTTCTGTTCTAACACTATTCTGTTCTGTTGAAACGTTGTGCCAAGCATGTTATTTGTATTTTTTCTATTATGACGTACATGTCCTGTGGTGTGATGTCTACCTATGTAGCTATGTCATGCCAATGTATAATATCCAATGGAGTGGTTCTGTAAGGCTCTGTGTGCTATTTTCTGTTTAGATTTTTATTCTTATTGGTCAGTTATTTTGTAGTCACTTTTTTGCGGGAGTTCTTTGTGTCAGTTTTAGAAGATCTGTCGGACACACCAGATATACCAGACAGACACACTTCTTGACTATAGTTTTTCTTTATTTTCAATTATTACTAATTTCTTCACATATTAGGTAATGCTTAGTGTATTTCATAAATTATCATGTAGAGATGTGTAATAGAAAAATGAAAAGTATGAAATATTTATAAAGTAATTGCGATGTATGCTGTATAATTGTAACACTATAAACTGGTAACAGTATACAGTAATTAGTTTTAAGTTTATATATCTTTTCGATATGTATTTATTGTATGTCTGAAGCGTTGTGTTAAATCAGAGACATGTAAAGCCATATATATATATACATATGGTTAACGATGTATTTTGCGCCATGTTTAAAGAGTGTACGGAAAATGTTAAACCATGTTTTGACTGTGCCGTGGTAATAATTATATATTGTTATCAAGAAGAAATCCTGGTTGTTTGTAAAACATTCCACTACAAATACACCGTTAAATCTACATTATTAGTATGTAATATACTATGGATCCTCAACAGACCATACACTGACATGTACAGTTATAAGATATATAGTTGAGCCAGTCTTCATGAAGGCCTTTCCTTGAATCAGGAGGTTTTACAGTATTGCGTCCTATTGAAGTAAGACGAGGAGCTTGGGTACCTTTTAACTACAGTCTAGTATTTTCCTAAGACTGTCTCAATGTGGATACAGTGACGTAGGTCTTGGAGCCTGTTCGTTTGTGTGGAACAAACGGTTTGTCTGGTTTTATATGTAACATTTAGGGTATTTATACTAGCGGACCTGCAAATGTTTATGCAGGCCTTGTAAGGCAGTGTCAAGGCTCGCCTGAAAGCAGCATCAGATTGATAGGTCCGACCTTGTTTCATAAACGAACAACTCCGGTCCAACGGGTTCAGACGTTTGGACCGCGATACACGAAAACGGCTCTGGTCTCTTCAATGTAGTCTGCAGGGCTCTACATATTCGTCTTAACCCCCGAGTCTGCAGGGCTCTTCCCATTAGGCGCCTCTTACGACATGCAGCATGATACAGCAGGTGTTTNAACGAAAACGGCCCTGGTCTCTTCAATGTAGTCTTCAGGGCTCTACATATTCGTCTTAACCCCCGAGTCTGCAGGGCTCTCACCATTAGGCGCCTCTTACGACATGCAGCATGATACAGCAGGTGTTTTCCCTCCGAGTCTGCACATGGGGTTCAATAAAGCACTGGCCTTGCTCCACAACATTCTAAGTGATTAGTACCAGAGCTATGTGAGTGCATTTAGTGCATTCTTTATCTAAAGAAGATGCAATTTACAAGGTAAACTATNTCCCTCCGAGTCTGCACATGGGGTTCAATAAAGCACTGGCCTTGCTCCACAACATGCTGAGTGATTAGTGCCAGAGCTATGTGAGTGCATTTAGTGCATTCTTTATTCAAAGAAGATGCAATTTACAATGTAAACTATCTTTTAATTTTCAAGATCAATACTCAAAGCATATTATCGAGAAAAACGATATATAGGTGGGTGGTTTTTTCAAATGTTGTTGAAAATTTACGCTTGGGATGTGTTGTAAACCCTCGGTAATGGTACTTTGGTTGGCTCGAACATTTCCAAGGGGGAGGAGGATGTAAGAGGGTTTCGTCTTGTAAGCAAACCTAACATTAAATGGTTTTCAAAAAACTATGTATGATGTTGCGTATATATTGCGAAATTGTATGAAACATATGGAAGATATCTGATATATTTTGCAAGATATCTTGATTAGGCCACAGGTTTTTGTTACAAATGTCTGAAATACACGTATGCTATACTGATATGGGTCACTACACACATAAACATACACATTGTGTATGTTTATGTGTGTTGTGACCAGTATATCAGTATAGCATATGTGTATTTCAGACATTTGTAACGAGACCATGTGATTAGGGTAAAGATGTAATATTGTGAATGAATGAATGTGTTGCTGTTGATATCTTCCTGTC